TAAAAATGGAAGCTGAGGGGAATGGGGGCGGGAGGTAACAAGAAGAGGCTGTGGTCGCGGAGGAAACTGTTGTGCGGAGTACAGGTTTCGGTCTCTTTGCCCCTGAAAGCTGTTTGGCAGGGCCGGCAGAGGCTGCCCGTGGGATCTGCGTCTTCTCCGGGGAGGTTCATCAGGAAAGGCTGGGGATCGATGCTGGGCCTGGGCCAAGTTGCCTCCCTTACCGGGTACAGGTAGAGCACGGCCCCGATCAGGAAAACCACGAAGGTGATGGCGAAGATTGCGAAGTCCAGCATGGTGCCGGCTGCTCCGGGTCGGGCCAGTCCCAGTCCCAGTCCCAATCCTGGACACGGTCACAGGATCCAGCCGCCTCCGTCCGGACACGTCCGCGGCCCCGCCCACAGCCCGTCTCCATAGCAACCCGGCCCTATCCCAATCCTAATCCCGATCCCGGTCTGTCCGTGTCCCCAGTCATAGGTCTTTCCAGACCTGGATCACTCAATGTCCCAATCCTAGGTTTGCTCATGTTTCAATCCTACGGGTTTCAGACCCAATAATGAGTCATCCATGACCCAGTCACAATCCCAATCCTGGATCTGTCCCTGTTTCCCAATCCTAGGGGTAAATGGAAATCACAGATAATGTTGTTGACAGGTAAAATGATGATCAAGTGTAAGAGAATGTCAACATAGGAGTTGATGGGTAGGTGAGTGAAGAGAAGTTCCCTGGAGCCATACGATGGGGTGAGGGGTCTCCTTTTTGTCTCCATGATTTCCATTATCTTCAAGCACCTGTCCTTGGTGAATGTGTTTAATTCAAGATGTGTATACCTGAAAACTTTCCCTTATCTTTAACACCATCTGTGGCCAACCATCACCAGTTTTGAGTTGTTCTTATTCCAATAGATTTTCTTGTCAGGTTCACATTGAGTAATATATTTCTCATTTTGCATCTAGGGATGTATCCTTCCAACTCACTGTTCCAGTAAATTATGACCCTTAATCATGGTCTCTAATTCAATCAGATAGATTATGGTTGATATGTACCTCAATTCCATTTTGCTCCATGTCCCTTGGTCCAACAAACTATTTATGGGTATTGAGGATTCTAACTGACATGGGTTCCAGTGTCCCTTTATCCTTTCTTGATTTCACTCTTGTTAGCTTAGTTCTAATTTTAAAATTGCTCATATGATGTGCCAGTGTGATTATAACAGTATGCAGAGTTTTTGGAACATCATTGTGTTTAAAATGTGATCCTCAGTAGGGTATTTTGACTTTGTTTTCCTGTGTTTCTTGCCCAGCCACTATAGAGGATGTAATAAATGGACTCTTGGGTAATAATGATCTGATTGGACGTAGTCAGCATGGATTTGTGAATGGAAAATCATGCTTGACAAGTTTCTAGTGTTTTTGTTTGAGTGTGTAACTAACATAATTGATGAAGGGGAGTTGGTGAACAGAGTGTACGTGGATTCTCGTAAGGTTTTGAAATAGTCCCCCACAGAAGCTTGGTCAGCAAAATTAAAAGCACATGGTTAGAGGGTAATATACTGGCATGGATTAAGGATTGACTCAGAGGGAAAATAAACAGTGGGATTAAAATGATCATTCTCACATTGTGACTAATAGGATACATATAGATCAGTCTTTGATCCCCAACTGTTCACAATATATATCAATGATTTAGAGGCGGGAACTGAATACAATATTTCCAAGTTCGTAGATGACACAAAGCTAGGTGGGAAATGTGTGTTGGGAAGAAGACACAAAATGGCTTCAAGAGAATTTGGACTAATTTAGGAAATGGGCAAGAACATGGTAGATGGAATATAAAATGGGAAAAAAACATGTTTATTCACTGAAAGAACAGGTGTGCAGAACATTTCTCAAATGGTAAGAGGTTAAAAATTGTAGATATTCAGTAAAGGGACCCCAGTGTCCTCCTCAATAAGTCATTGAAGACTAAACATGTAGGTGCAGCAGAGAATTTGGAGGGTTATTGGTACATTAGCCTTTATTTCAAGAGGAATTTCATAAAGAAGTAGTTAAGTCTTGCTTCAGTTGTAAAGAAACTTGCATAGGCTGCACCCGGAGTAATATGTGGAATTTTGTTCCCTTGCCTTAGGAAAGATGTTATCCACAGAGACAATAAAACGAAACTTTGCCAGACTTGTTCTCAGGATGGTGGGACTGTCCTATGAAGGGAATTTCGGGAAACTGGGCCAGTATTCTCTAGCATTTCAAAGAGTGAGAGGTGACCTCATTGTAACCACAATATACTTAAAGGAACAGGCGGGGTAGATGCCGGTAAGATGCTTCACCTGGCAGGGGCGTATCAAGCTGGGGAACACAATAACAATACAAGGGAGAAGTCCCTAAGGACTGTGATGAAGCGAATTTTTTACTCAGTGGATTGAGAATCTTTGGAATTCTGTATCCCAGACAGCTGTGGAAGCTCAGACTTTATAAAATTTACTCATGGGACATGGGCATCACATTTATTTTGATTGCATTTTTAAATATAAATGCCATAAAGGGATATGGAGAAAATGTGGAGAAAAAGGCACTGAAGTAGATTTCAACTGAATAGCGGAGAAGGCTTATTAGGCTGCCGAGCCTGCTCCTGCTGCTAAGTTCCTACGAGTTGCTACCAACTCACAGACAATAAGTAACCTAGAGACAAGTACCATCACTGGTTTCAGCACTGCAGTATGGCCAGCAATGGCGGATATGTTGCTCAGCTAGCAATCCAGAGATATCAATTCACATCACCCCACAGAAGCTGAGGAATTTAATTGTATAAAACCTGGAATATTAAAGGCTAATTTCATGTGAAACGAGTGGATTGTTGTTTAAAAAGAAGTTCTTGATCACGACTATCTTCTCAAGGGCAGTTAGGCATGGGCATAAAATATTGGCCTTACCAGAGGTTCACATATCTTGTAAATGAATTGGTCAGATCACATTTTGAATTCTGTGTTCATCTCTGGGCCCCTTATTTAGGGAATGATGCTAAAACCCTGGAGAGAATGATAAGTGCCTGTAATACGCTGTCAAAGGAGATGATAGAAGCAGATGCAATGTTTAATAGGTATCATGACACGTATAAGAATAGGCAGGGATTAGAGGAATATGGACACAATGCCTTGCTAAATTAAATCATTTGCCTCTCAGCGCAGTGTTGATGAATTGAAGGGCCTGTTCCTGTGCTGTACTGTTCTTTGTTCTTTGACCCCTTTCAGATAGTGCATGTGGCCTTTGGTATCGGGATCAGACACTGCAGACTCACTTTCCAGCTACACAGGTACAGAATGGTCTCTTAGGCACGGTGCAGAAGTGACTGATGATCATAGAGCTGAACATGGGCAAGAACTGGCTCTTGTTCAGGACACAGTTGAGAAAGTTGGGGAAATGGTACTTTAAAGAATGAAGAAATCACAATAACATTTTGATTCAAATGCTTTAATTTATTATGATGGTATAGCTCATATTTCAAAGTAAAAATTGAGAGATAACAACTTGTACTTTTAATCTCAAAGTTATAAGGAGCTTTACATCAATGAAGTACTTTTGAAGTTGCTGTTGTAGTGTAAGAAACAAAGCAGCCAGGTGTGCACAGCAAGATTCCAGAACTAGAAATGACATAAATGACCAAGCTGTTTTATTGATTTCAGTTGTCAGACAAAAGTATTGCCTGAGACACTGAATAGTCGTGGAGGATCTTTCAAATTCACTTGCAGAAAGAGGCATCCCTGACAATGCACCATTCCCTTAGTGCTGCACAAAGCATTAGCTTAAACTTTGTACACCAGTTTCTCCAGTGGAATTTGAATCAAAGATCTTCTGTTTATGGAAAGATCTGAGCTGTGGCTAATACCTGTAAAGCATCAGCTTAAATTCTTCCCAATGACAGGTCCAACCTACAAATCCATGATCTAAACCACATTTAAGCCCAGGAGGCAGGTTCTGAATCCAGTCTTTCTTGACCATCCTTGGTCCTCAAACCCACTCTAGCTCAGAGGGAAAGATACGACCCAATGTGCTCCATGACCTTCCTATAAATAATTAGACACTCTAAAGCAAACTGTGAGCTAACACTGGCTCTCAGACTAGTTAGCCAGATCGCTCAGTTCTATTTGTGTTTATATTATTTATTGTTTTGTTTCCTGCAGTAATTTAGCAATTAATAAATCCTAAATCAGAACCTCAAGCTTTGTTGGTATCAGTAACTTGAGGTGGATAGGAACAAATAGCGACATGGCCCTTGAGGTTTCATGGTAACGACTAAGATGCAAGAGTGACTGTTGAGTCATTTTGGATAAAAATTCCTTTCATTTAAAAGAGACAATTCATGTTCATTAATGAGGCTCACATGCTGTATGTGTCCTGAAATATTGACTGATTCTGCTGGACTTCTTTTTAAGAGATATGCTGCACAACAACCTTCTACTTCCTCTTCCCTTTTCAAAAATCTTCTCAAATTCAAACTAACACAGCTGTTTGGCTTAACCTGTATACAGCTCCCTGGCAGTTTTGGCAATTACTGTGACCAGTTGCCAACTGTTTCACTTTTGGAGGTAGGTACTGAAGATGGCAGTTTTACTGCTTCTCTTTTCCACTTTATTACTTTGTTGGGAGCTGCCAAAACATGAGTAAAGCAGGCCACTGTTTCACTGGTTCACTATGTCAGGTTTATATTACGGAAACAGGCCAATCGGCCCAACGTCAGCATTTGCGCCTCATACGGTTCCTCCCATCCCTCTTCATCTAATCCTTTCTGCCTCATGTGTTTATCTAGCTTCCCTTAAACTATCATTGAGCACTGGGCTCTGCACCTCCTGACAAGGAACATGCTGAGGAACACGGAAAGATTTTCCCATTTGTGAATGGTTGGATAAAATACAGCTCCCTCTACACTATCTCAACAAACACTCCCAGGACAGGTACGGCAGAGTTAGATACAGTGTAAATCTCCCTCCACACTGTCCCATCAAACACCCTGAGGGCAAGTACAGATGAATATTGATACTGAGTAAAGCTTTCTGACCACTGTTCCATCAAACATTCCCAGGGAAGGTACAAGAAGGTTACTGTGTCCTAAAAATCTTCTTCATCCCTGTGTCAGAACGGCATCCCTTATTGCATCCATGTGTTTTTTTCTAAACTATTTTCTGCATTGAGCATCTGATAAAATCAACTCTGTCATCTTAGCAAAGTTAAGGAGATGCCCACATTCCACAAGTGAAACAAAGAGAAAGTGTTCTGCTTTAGGGTTGTTTTGAATGGTAAGCATTTATTCATAACTCTCCTGAAACTAGCAAAGCAAACTTCAGCTCCCTTGATCTGAGCAGTATCTGAATGTGGGTGTCAGTTACAAATGACAGTATACAACCCTACTTGACACCCAATCCAATATTACAGTAAATTAGGGATATAAGTCAACCCAGTATAAGAGCAGGACTTCCTCTTTATCAGCCCCAAATAAATCTTGATTTTGCATATTCTCAGTGTATAAACTGACCCCTTCCCATACTGTTTGTGACATGTTGTACTTGTATTAGTAGTCAGCCTCAATTTTCACCCCACAAGTGAATTTTTTTCTTACTGGTACTTTACATCAGGGTGCAAGAGATTCAGCAAGGATGCACAAAAGTTTAAGACACACCCACACAAAGGAGTCACTGCAAACACAGACGGAGGCCACCCACACCAGCATACTCAATGTATATGTTGATCCAAGTTTCAGAAGGAATTCTTTGTAGCTTCAAAGGTCGACTTGTACCTGATATCTACAGGGCTGTTCATATTGGATCACGAGAAGCTATAACATGTGATATGGCCATCCTTTCAACTTCTGTCCAAAAGAGATGGAAATTGACTTCGGGGTAAAACATAAGCATGGGCATCTGCACCAGACAATTTGCTCAATACAGCTATACAAAAGGAATTCAAAGTCTCTTGTAGCCAGACCATTCAGATGTAATGCTCCACACACCTTCAGTACTAAAGGCTCATACTTTATGCTTGAGCTTTAACTTTCTCATCGGAAGCACCAATGTCATTCAGGTGTGATGCAAACTCCGATTCTGCAAAGCAAAATGAAAATTTTAGTGCAGTGTGAGCTGTTCACAGTGAGACTCCATTTCAGCAGTAAATGGTCAGCCCATGTAAATGGATATCACTCAGATGATAACATGACATCTTGGCTATATTTCCTGCTATTCATTAACTATAGCAAGAATTGTACAGATATTATACATTCCTGCAGTACATTTTTATGAAATTCCAGTAATGCAAGATAATATGATTTCAAGAATTGGTTGACTTTATTTTTGTTCTCCAAACAGATTTGATGAGTAACCAGTTGAAAGCAATATACAAACCCCGAATATAGATACTTCTGTCAAGCATATCCATTGAATTGTCGTAGAAACTGAACTGGTTCACTATGTCAAGTTAACATCACAGAAACAGGCCAATCGGCCCAACATCAGCATTTGTGCCTCATATGGTTCCTCCCAACCCTCTTCATCTAATCCTTTCTGCCTCATGTGTTTATCTAGCTTCCCTTAAATGCATTTGCCTCAGCCACTTTTGATATTTCATACACTCATTCTCTCTAGATAAAGAAATTCCTCCTGAATTCCTTTTTGGATTTATTAAGGACTATCTTGTATTTGACCTAGTTCAAAACTTCTTCACAAGTGGAAACATTTCCTCTTCAGCTATCCTAACAAGGCTTTCTTCAAACTTACAAGACCAAAACCTTTACCTTTCTACAGAATACAGCCCCAGCTTGTTCAGCCCTTCCACCTTTCTCAATACGTATATCTTCTCAGTTCTGGTATAATCATTGCGAATTATTTTTACACTATCTTTCAGTGCCTCAGTAACCCTTTCATAATATGGAGACCAGACAGAGAGGAGTAATCCAAGTATGGTCTAATGGCCTATGGTTCAATACAAGTTTAATGTAAAAGGTCTGTGTTTCAATAATGCACCTCTTGATATGAACCCCAGTTCTTGGTTTGCTTTTATTAAATGGCTTTATTAACCTGCATCACTAGTTGGAGTTTTGTGCATATGTAGCCCTTAATTTTACTCTTGATCTATCCAATTAATAGAGTTGTACCAATTTAGACTCTTAACAAATATCCTTTAAGGCAGGATACCTAATGTTTTTTTTCCCCTGGTGTGGCATGTGTGATTCCAGTACCTTGCCAATATAATTGACTCTTAATTGCCTTGTGCCTAGCAAACATTTTTTTGAGAGCAAACTGCTTCACCTCCAGCAATTAAAGAGCAAAAGCACCTTCCTTTATCAAGTTCACCTCCTCTGGGTAACTTAGAAGCATGAAAAATGGCCACATTCCATGCACAAATAAAGTGTGGACAGGAACTGGGAAAATATAGTTGTGCAATATCCTTCACAGTTGAAGTGGTTATCACTGACCATCTCAGTTAACACATGCTTCCAAAGAGTTTTAACAAAGTTTGTCATGCATTATCTAGCAAGACATATTGTTTGCAGCAGGGAGGACAAAAGCAGAGAATATGGTGAGGAGATGACAATCACGCTGTCTCAAATAATTTAACTTGTATAACAGCTTCAATGTCGTAAAATGTCCCAGAGTGCTTCACAGGAGTTTAATCAGATACTGACAATGACCTAAACAATGAATCATTAGAACAAGTGACAAAAAGCTTGATCAAAAGGCAAAGTCTTAAAAGCAGGGGAAAGAGAGAGAGGCAAAGCTTCAGAGACGGAATTCCAGAGCTTAGAGACTAGACATCAAAACTATATCTGCAATGGGCAAAATAAATCAAAGATGCACAGCAGGCCAAAATTGGAGGAATGCTGAATTCTCAGAGGGTTGTCGGACTGAGGTAGGACTGAAGGATGTTACAGCGATGGGGAGGAGTGAGACTGTGGTCAGTTTTGAACACAGGATAGAATTTTAAATCTGAAGCATTGTTGGACTGGGAGCTAATCTAGGTCAGCAAGCACTGGGATGATAAATGAACAGGACATGGTGTATGTTAAGATATGAGAAGCAATGATTTGTGGAGGTCAAATTTACAGATGGAAAATGGGAGGCATTGGAATAATGAATTTGAATTTCATAAATGACGGACATAGGTTGTGGTTGCAATAGACCAATGCAAAAGCAAAAATAGACAATATTACAGCGCTTACAGTAGGCAGTCTTGGTGGTAGGACTAAGAGAAATAGGAGGAGTAAACCATAAGGCCACTTGAGCCTGCTCCACCATCCCATATAACCCTAGCTCTTCTTCTATCTTAATCAATTTCCCATCCATTCCTCATAATCCTTGTTTCCAAAAGACTGTCTATCGCAGCCTTGAAATGTAGTCAATGAAGGAACACCACACCTTGCTGGGGTAGAGAATTCCAAAGAAGCAAAACCCTCTGAGTGAAGAAATTTACCATCTCAGTTCCTAGGAGTGACAATAACAACCAACCTGTCCTGGATTTTCCACATAGATGCAATGGTCAAGAAGGCACAACAACGGCTCTTCTTCCCCAGGTGGCTCAATTTGGGATGTCCATAAGGACCCTCACCAATTTATACAGATGCACCAGAGAAAGCGTGCCGTTCGGGTGCATAATAGCTGGTACAGTAACTGCTCTGCTCAGGAGCGTAAGAAACTACAGAAGGTTGTGTGAGACAGCCCAGACCATCGCGGAAGCCAACCTCCCATCCATGGACTCCATTTATATCTCTCATTGCTGCTGAAAGGCTGCCAACATCGTCAAAGATCCATCCCACCCAGGTAATGCTCTCCTACAACCTCTTCCATCAGGCAGAAGATACAGAAGCTTGAACACACGCACCAGCAGATTCAAGAACAGCTTCTTCCCTGCCATTATTAGACTGATGAATGGATTCTCTAACTTAAAATAGTGTTGATCTTTCCTCGTGCACATTCTGTGCGGTGTAATCTCTATGACTCATTCTATCCAAGTTTTTTTTCTCTCTATGATTTGTATGTCCTTGCATACAATGATCTGCCTATACTGCTCACCAACAAAGCTTTTCACTGTACTTAGGCAGAAAATATGTGGAGATGCTAACACAAGTTTTATCTTTACAAAACTGTCACAACTGCTTTAGCACAAGAGGAGGCCATTTGGCCCACTGCATCTATAACACCTTTCTGAATGAATAATAGACTTAATTCTGTTCACCCACCTTCTCCCTGCAACAATGTACATTCTTCTGTTTCAGATCACAATCCAATGCTGTCCTGAATGCCTCAAATGAACATGCTTCCATCACACACTCAGGCAGCGCATTCCTGATCCTAATCACTCATTGGGTAAACAAGTTTCTCCGCATGTTGCCAATGCTTCTTCTGCTAATTACCTTAAATCTCCGTCATAGAGACATACAGCATGGAAACAGACCCTTCAGTCCAACCAGTCCATACCGAACATAATCCCATTCTAAACTGCCTGCTCCTGGCCCATATCCTTCCAAACCTTTTCTATTCACATACTTATCTAAGTATCTTTTAAATGTTGTAACTGCCCACATTTACCACTTCCTCAGGAAGTTCATTTCTCACCCAAACCACCTTGTGTAAAAAAAAAATCTGCCCCTCATGTCTTTTTTAAATCTCTCTCATTCATATTAAAAAATTGTCCCCAGCCTTGAAATTCCCCATCCTCAGGAAGAGACACCTACCATTAACTCTATCTATACACCTCATGATTTTATAAACCTCCCATGCTCCAGTGAGAACAGTCCCAACCTATCCATCAACATTCTTAGATAACTAACAGCATGGAGGAAAAGTCACAATTAGCTTTTTTCTCTTTTTATACGGTAAGGACCGATTTCCAGTATTTGCTTTTCTTCCATATTTCCCAAACTTGCAATTTTTCCATACTTAGTTGTGTCCTTTGAAATATAAACAGTCACCTCCCTCCATTCTACACTTTTTTTCTCCTCAAGCCATTGTACATTCTTAAAGGCTTTCAGACCTTCACTACTCAAAACGGTAATTGCCGATTTGTACCTAGTCCCGCTTCCCTTTTATCCTGTTCACCAATGGGGTGATGATCATTAATCATAATCTTTGCTCATGTACCTTCGGTATAGTCAAGCATGGGATGATATGACAGGAAGATCCAGGCCAGTCCAACCAAGATGCTCACTACAAGGTTCACTACAATCCAAGGGTGCAGAATGTGAAACTCTGATCCAGAAGGCCTGAAGAGAGAGAGGCAGTAACTCATTCAATAACAGGTCCTATAACAAAATGCTGTCTACTTTAAACTTTGCAACACATTACTGAGACGGGGCATTGAATTTCACTCGGATTCTAATATTCAGAAGGTTGCTACTTTCAGTAGTTATGATCATGTACTAACAGCCTAGAGTTTAGGACTTCACCCAGTTTGCAGAGATGTGAATTGCAAAATTTGTGTGTTACAATCAAAAAAAATGAAAGCTGTTGATTGTTGCAAATACTCAGAAGGAACTGCCACTTCTATCTAGTCTTGTCTATTAGTGAGTCCAGTCTCTCATTACATAGTTGATTCTTAATGTTCTCTGCATGACAAGCACAGATTATAGAGTCACTATATCATCATAGTTAGTGGGGAACCCAATTTTATGCTATGGAAGATTTAACAATATACATAACAGTGGAGATCTGCTCTGAGTTGGGAGTAAAGTCAAATGTTGCAAAGTGCTGACAACCAGTTGCACATACCAGGCGCAAGAAACTAAAAAACTTATGGAAAACAATTAAAACTCAAATGATGATGTCTACACTATTCAATAACAGTTCTACATATGATTATCTTATCTGTAATAATATTAGGGTGAAACTCTGCAATCTCACCACCTTTGGAACTAAAAACGTTAAGATGTTTGAGGCCAAATCCTGAACTAACAACTGGTTCTCATTTTCTTCTTTAATCCTCTCCTGAAGATGCCAACAATGGTAACACCGATAGTGAAGTACTCCTTTCATCAAAGCGCACACAGCGTATGTTGATAGATTGATAGACAAGATTGCAGCAGAACATGGATTATACAGGTCATGAATAAATAGAAGGAAACCTGCTAATAAACTCTTCAACTGTGGACATTTCTACGGCTTTGCCTAAGCCAGGATGTGCCGGTTCACTATTTGACCTGGGCAGCAGAGCACCAGAAGTGGTTTCAGAGGCTGAGACTTCAGTGAATTACCAATCAATCAATCTTCATTCAATTATTTTCTCTTGTCTGCCACTAACCAACATTTCAACATTGTCAACATCATACAAACATTTGCCTGTATAAAAAACGGCTCACTGAGATGGGATGGGTACAGAATAACCCCCTCACTGAAGCACTTCACAATAACACCTCTACTCCTCTTTTAAGTGCCTGACACAAACAGTGTGGAGTTGTTCATTGGTTTGCTGAGCTGACTGGTTTTCGTGCAAATGTTTCATCCCCCTTCGAGGTGACATCTTCAGTGCTGTCTAGCGTCCATTGAAGTGCCATTGTCCTGTTCCGTTCTGAATTTATATGGTCCAGTCTGTCATTGTGGGTAGTTCTGTTTCCAGTTTTGCTCCATAGTGTTATGTGGATGGGGTCCATGTTTGTTTATGGCACTAGTGGTTGAAAACCAGGCTTCCAGGAATTCTCATGCCTGTCTTTGTTTTGCTTGTCCGAGTACAACTACGTTGTCCTAGTTAAATTGATGTCCTTCTTTGTCGGAGTGAATAGAACGGAGGGAGAGATGGTCATGCCGTTTTGCTGCCAGTTGGTGTTCATGTATCCTGACAGTGAATTTCCTGCCTGTCTGTCTAATGTATTGCTTCTCACAGTGGCTGCATGGTATTTTGTATATCATGTGTCCTGCTCATTGCGGGCATAGGGTCTTTTGTCTTTGAGAGTAGCTGGTGAAGTGTGGCTGTTAGGTTGTGTGCTATCATTATTACAAGAGGTCGTAGGAGTCTTGTAATCAGTTCCGATATGTATCTAATATAGGGTCGGGCAACTAGTGTGTTGGGACGTATAGTGCCTTCTTGGTGTTGTTTATTTGCCAGGCATTGGTGGCTGAAGTTGTTAGGATACGCATTGTTTTCAAAGAGTTCGTATAGGTGTTCCTCTTCGTTCTTGCGCAGCTCCGGGGTGTTGCAGCGTGTTATCGCTCATTTAAACAGAGTCTTGACACAGCTCTGTTTGTGGACGCTGGGGTGGTTACTGTTGTAATTCAGGATTTGGTCTCATGTGTAGTCTTGCTGTGTACACTGGTAAGGATTTCACTGTTGTTCGTTCGTTCTACCATTATGACTAGAAACGGGAGTTGATTGTTGTTCTCTTCCCTGCTGAACATGCTGTTAATAGGGTGGTGTGTTTCTTCTAACTTTGCTTGTTTAATGATCACGAAAGTATCATCCACGTATCTGACCCATAGTTTAGGCTGGATCTAGGAGAGGACTGTGTGTTCAAGTCTTTGCATAACTGCTTCCACTATGATACCCAAGATGCGTGAACCCATGGGTGTCCCATTAATTTGTTCATATACCTGGCCATTAAAGACAAAGTGCATGCTAAGGCATAGGTCTAGTAATTTCAGCATATTGTCCTTGCTTATGGTTTCACTGGAGGTCTGTGTTTTCGGACTGTCTAGTAATGCGGCTGGTGTCTCCTTTGCTAGTGTCATGTTGATAGAGGTGAATAGTGCCGTAATGTAATGTTGAGATGGACCCCATCTACATACCACTATGGAGCAAAACCAGAACCAGAATCACCCACCATGACAGACCAGACCATATAATTCAGAACAGAAAAGAACAACAGCGCTTCAATGGAGGCCACACAGTACTGAAAACGTCACCTAGAAGGGGGACGAAACGTTTGCACGTAAACCAGTCAGCTCGGCGAAACAATCAACAACTCCAGTGACAACGTGAGCTATAGATCTTCACTAAAACATTAAACAATCAGTGTGGCTTAGAAGAGTGCAGTATATAATAGGGAATTCTCTGAGGGGGCACACACTCATTACTGGTTCATGCAGTGCTGTTCAAGGACTGAAAAGCCATTAGCACTTGTGGTAAAATAATCCTCCGTGTTTTATTATTCCATTAACACTCTGTTATAAGAGAACAGGTACAAACTACAACTTACCAAAGAGTGTAATTCAATTCTGCTGCGAATTGATACCTGTTAAGCCTGTCACTGGGCATCTGCTGGCTCAGTGATAATACCAGAGCTATGAAGTACACTGCACAGACAGAAAACCGTATAAATACAACAACACTGTTCATCATTACAGATGTCTTATAGCTTTTTTTAAAAAAGGGGAAGAAAGACAATTTTAATTTCCAGTCTGTACTTGATTAGCTGGCCTCCACCAGTGTACAATCGAGTCATTTAGAAGTAATTGGCACAGAGGAAGATATTTGGCCCACCGAGTCTGTGCCAGCTGAGCACATGGCAATTCAGTCAGTACTATTCCCCACTCTGTCCCTGTAGCCCTGTGAATTTATTTCTTTCAATTGTCCATCCAACTTTCTTTTGAAATAATTGATCTGCTTCCACCACTCTCTTGAGAACTGAGTTCCACATCATTACTCTTGTGTCGGTTGTGTGGTTTTATTTGTAAAACCAAGATTCCGGATTCAAGTTGGATTGGTTGAAGAGGCAGCAAGGTTAAGAAATGTCTTCAACTTAGGCCTCTTCAGAACTCTATATTGTATGTTAACACTAAATACATGGTGATCTGATATATACCAGACTCTAAGCTTACTGTCCTGTTATTAAAAGCCTATTCCCTGAACTCTATCAATCTTCTATCTAGCTAACTAATCCAATCACATTGTGCTATTTATATCCAGTTAGGAGCTGGACCATGACATCATCTCAAGGTTGCTCCAGCATCCTAAGGCTTTATACAAGAATTACCAAAAACAACACAAAATATTCTTCCCTGCATATCTTCCCCAAAACCTTACATTTTTGTGCTTTTGATCATCTCCAGACTAAAATTTTACGTAAAATCACCCTTCCCTGGAAATATTCCTGCAAATCTCCGCACACAATCTCAAGGGCCTTTATATTCTTCCAAAGTGTGGTCACCAGAACTGGCTGTAATACTCCATTGTGTCTAAGAAAATCTTTTGTGTTCAGTGCCTTTTTATTAAAACCAAACATCCATTTAATTTTCAAAACAATGATCTCAAAATGATCTGACACCTTCGAAGATCTACGCACAAGGTTCACCCAGATCCCTCTGTTCTTGCACACAATGTAGAACTGTGGCATTGAGACTACATTTCCTTTTACTGTCCCTTATATTTCAGTGCTTTAAGTTCCACCTGTCATTTGTCTACCCATTCTGCTAATCTAATAAGGGCTATAATAACTGTTAAAAACCGAAAGAACTGCGGATGCTGTAAATCAGGAACAAAAACAAAGTTGCTGGAAAAACTCAGCATCTGTGAAGGAAAAAAAAGTTAACATTTCGCATCCAGTGACCCTTCCTCAGAATGGAGTCGAAACGTTAACTGTTTTTTTTCCTTCACAGATGCTGCCAGACCTGCTGAGCTTTTCCAGCAATATAATAACTTCTCAGTGTCCTTGCAGCAGGGTGAGAGGAGAGATGAGAGCATTAAACAGGGCTACTGTTCTCAGACCAGTAACTCCTGCTGGAATGAACAGATATGACTGTTTTTGAACAGTCTCACGAGACTTCACGCCTTGACTTAAACAGGTAGGATGGACTCACGAGTCAGATGCTAGACGAAACTAGCAACTCATAAAATTAGATACAAATGCACTAGCATAACCAAAAGCACAGTTTTAGTTTTAGTCTCCCGTTGGGAATTTTATTACTCAAGCTTCTCTGTTTTGAAGGATTAACATCCTTCAATTTACAAGTCAACAATAAAATACTAATTGTGAACATTTAAACATCTATACAAAGTGGGATCCTGACAGACAACAGGTCAGTGACACTCAAAGACAATAGGTCAGCGATACACTGATATGAACAGGAACAAAACATGCAAAAATATAAATATGGATAAGCAAGAACTTTTTTAAGGTAAGAGAGCAGTGAGAATGCTTACAGACAGAGGCCAATGCAGCAGGATCCAGTGTTACAATTCTACGCACTGCCATTGGTGCATCAGCTACATTAAGCCTGGAGAGAACAGAGTAACAACAAAAAGGTTAAATGTTGATGAATGGATCTCATTGCTGTTTGATTCATAAACTAAATCAAGCTGTCTACTAGGACCAAATTAATACTTGCTTCCTTCCGATCTACACCCGGTACCCAGGCCTATGGGCCTCATTTTCTCTTTACCAACTTTCTGGAGTAGCAGCCCTCTGATCATTGCCACTTCTCTGTCTTTTTCCAAGTAGCCAATGGTGGCCAATCATTTGTCCAGCAGGATCATTCCAATGTTTGACTTGAATTTACTTCTCTGCTCAGATTTTTAGTGGAGTCACCAATCAAACCACGATTCCTGGATGTAGCACCAGACTATCAACCAATGTTAATGAATATTTTATTCACTTCTTGCACGATTGTGTCACTGGCAAGGCCATCATTCATGGTCTATGCCTAATGGCCCCTTCAGAATGCGGTGGTAACTCACTTTCTTGAACTGCTGCAGTCCATCTGGTGTAGGTACACCCAAAGTGCTGTTAGCAAGACAGTTCTTAGATTTTGATCCAGCAAAAGAATGGCAATATACTACAATGCCAAGATGGTATATGGCCTGCAGGAGGCAGAGATACCATGAGGCTTGTGCCTTTGTAATTTTAGATGGTAGAAGTTGTGACGTTGGAAGATGCTGTCAATGGAGGCACAGATAGCTGCTGCAGTGGATGGTATGCATTTCTGCCAATGGTGGAGGGAATGAATGTTTAACATGGTAAATGTGGTACCAATAATTGCTTCGTCCTGGATGGTATGAAGCTTCTCGAGTGTTGTTTTAACCGTATTCATCCAAGCAAGTATAAATTATTTCATCACAATCCTGACTCATGCCTTGTACATGACGGGTAGGTTATTGGGAAACAAGAGGGGAGTTACTCATGCAGAATTGCCCGTCTTTGAACTGGTCTTGTAGCCCAGTATTTATATGGATGGTCCATTAAATTTCTGACCAACAGTCACGCCTAGGATTTTGGGGTGGGGAATTCAGTGACAGTTATGACATTGAATGTCAAAGAAAGATGGTTAAATTCTCTCCTGTTGAAGATAGTCATTGCCCAGCACTTGTTCGACACAAATTTCCATGGCAACATCAACAAATAAAGTTCAGTGTCAGGTTCAAGTTCAATGTGTGGCCTTGAATTTTCCATACATGGTCGTGGTATTGCTTACAGTGCCATCCAGCAGCCTTCAGTGGAAAGTGTTGACCAACTATCCACAAAGCAGGAACACAATGCAGATCTTACATCATGCGGAAAAAGTGTTTGATGAATTCCGAACTTGTGTCTGATGCTTATGATAGTTTATAATATCTGAAATTAAGCTGTTATATGTTAAATGCAGGAACAACTGCTTCATTGTGGTGGGAGGATGTTCTGTCTCATTGGAATTCACCCAATTTTGCTGAGTCTCAGGGAGAAGGAGTGGGAATGGTGGTGGTTGGGAGTGGGGTGAAAACATGCAGGCAAGAGCTTTAAGTTTGGGATCAGAGATGGTCACATACATTCCAGAGCAGAGAATTGTTTTTTCAGAAGATACTTTGACAGGTTACAGTCATTCTGCTGAGGTGCTGGTGGATTTGTTGATCCAAATACGTAGGTAACACCTCTAATCAATCAACCATGTTTTAGCAGCTTCATTGATTATTTTCCCCTCTGATAATCCTTAGGTTCTCTCAGCTCATGTAGATTTTTATGATCTGTTTATTTTCAATCCATGGCACTGGTAAAGATTGAAACATCCTACAGTTACGGCATTTCAAATCTGGTACCCTCAGGATGGAGGTTGAAACCAATATATATTTATTTTCAGATTTTGGGTCAGGCAGTACACGCTGTGGACAGTGTCGATCAAGCTGGGTTGGGTGAGGTCAAGTGACACTTGGTGCGCAGAATAGGGTGCAAGTAACTAATCTAGACCCACACCTTGCCAATGCAGAACCAAAGCCTGTCTAGGTCAACTTAAAAAAATATTTTTTAGAATTAGAATTGACACATGCAAGATTGAGAACATCTGGTTTTTGGACACAACCAGTTTTGGAGTAGCTGGATCTGAGGAACTCTATCTGTATATGAAGGATTTGGAAGAGAAGAAACTGGATGCTACGCGGGGTTAAGAGACAGTGTGTGTGAGAGAACTGGCTAGTACTGTTGTTCCCACTGATTGACAGGATCCTGCTTCCAGGTGAAGTAAAGATAACAGATTGGCTGGCATTAGGTAGACTTACAATTCTCTGATGGTCTATGGATTCTTTAGTCACGGCTCTCATATTTTTATCATTTGATGGCTGCACGCACCATGATGCCATTATATCGACACAGCGACGGCTAGCCAAAACAAATCAGCCACATGACCACTGGATTCTCAACAATGAAATTAAAACATTCAATGACCCTGAAAACTGCTCGGTTGTCCCTAACCAGACTTCACGAATAATAGATTGTAGACACTAAATCTATAATTTAAACAAAAATTAACAACTTATTTAGAGATAGTAGGAACTGCCGATGCTGGAAAATCTGAGATAACAAGGTGTAGAGCTGGATGAACACAGCAGGCCAAGCAGCATCAGAGGAGCAGGAAAGCTGACATTTCAGGTCTGGACCCTTCTTCAGAAAGGTTTATTTATTTATCTTTTTTTAATCTTTTTTATTTATTTATCTTTTTAAATTCATTTGTGGGGTGTGAGCATCGCTGGCTGGCCAGTATTTACTGCCCATTCCTAGTTAACCTTGAACATTGACCCAGCAATAGTGAAGGAATGGCAATATACTTCCCAGTTAGGATGGTGAGTGGCTTGGAAGGGAAATTGCAGGTAGTGGTGTCCCCATGTATCTTCTGTCCTTGTCCTTCCACATGGAAGTGGGCAGAAGTTTGGAAGATGCTGTCAAAGGATCTTCAGTGAATTTCTGCAGTGCATCTTGTAGATTGAACGCATTGCTGCTACTGACCATCAGTGGTGGAGGGAGTACATACTCGTGGATGTGGTGTCAATCAACCAGGCTGCTTTGTTCTGGTTGGTGTCAAGCTTCGTGAGTGTTGTTGGCGCTCCACCCATCAGGTAAGTGGGGAGTACTCCATCACACCCCTGACTTACGCATTGTACATGGTGGACAGGCTTTGGGGAGTCAGGAGATGAGTTACTCCCTGCAGAATTCCTAGCTTCTCACTTGCTCTTGTAGCCACTATAGTTAGGTGGTGTGCGCAGTTTCTGGTCAATGACACCCACAGGAGGTTGATAGTGGGGGATTTAGTGATGGTAACATCATTGAATGTCAAGGAGTGATGGTTAGCTGCTGTTCAATGTTCAAAGTTGAATTCTTAACTTTCTTGAACTCTCAGTTCCAAACCAAAAATTAGAAAAATAAAAGAAAAATAGTGATAGAGTCAACACCAACAACACCAGTAAGATCTGGCACACTTACCTGGGCAATTGCAATGGGTCCAGCTCAGCAGACAGGCAGAAGCAGATCTGTGCCACTTTCTGAAAGGACACCTGCAACTTACAGCTGATCTGAAAATAGGTTTCACCTCCTTGCAAACAGTTCAGATCATAAAATGGGTGCCACCTTGTAACAGCCACCTTAAGCAACATCACCGAACACTGGTAATGTCTGTCATTTCCTGCAGACCCACAGTTGCTCCACAGGTTTCTTTGTACCTTAGTCATCACCAACTTCTTTTTGATCAAACCCGCCACTGGCAAAGTTCAGATACCTTCTGTGCTTTCAAAAGTACAAAGAAGTTTTAATGCCCTTATTCCAAGATTTCCCTTTAATTGGTTATTTTTAAATGTTACCTATTTGGCTGTTACTAGCAGTGCTCCCTGCTTTGAAACCTCCTTATGAAATGATCCATAAGCTTTTCATGGAAAAGTGGATAAAACTAGCACGTCTATTTCAAAATTTATATAAAATGTGCTTCTCTATGAGTTACTCCCACAATATGGAGAAGTCATTACACATCTCATTGCTGCATGGGAGGAATCACAGGCACAAAGCTCCCCCTTGGTCATTCAATGAGGAATCAGACACCAATGAGTGCATGAATCACAAATTGAGACGGCCATGGGGGGAATCACGGGTAAACCCAAACTCACATTCTGCGATGCAGATTCAACAGTCAAGGTGCCCGTCATGAAGTCAACTGAGGGGATGTGCTTCAAAAAAATTTAGCAATATTGTTTCTCAATACCTGAACCACCCAAGAAAATGTTAACTGATATACAATCAGTGAATGAATTGCACACACACAGCATTGGAAGCTGAACCATGTAGTTGAGCACATATTTTGGGGAATATTTAGGAGCCCGAGATGACTGAAAAATATCTATCCTTCCCTCGTCTTGTTACCTGTCAAATGCAGAGACGGTGCTGATGGCAAGCAGCATGTACAGGAGGCACTGTCCTGGGTAGACCAACAAGCTGTACTGTTGCAGTAGATTTGGGAGTTTAGATAAATCGTTACCCGACAGTGCGTAAACTACAATGATATTCCAAACCATGTATCCAGCCAGAAACCCTTGTGAGAAAAGCCCAATTATCCTGAGGAGACAGGAAACAAAGTGGGTTATATACCCAGTGAGACAATACACATTTTGAAGAGAATCAGAAACACTGAGTTCTGAGAAGACCCATTGTGCTCCTGGTAAATGGTGTCATTCCTTCATTTCAGGATTTTGGGATCAACATTATCTCCAGTCAATGTGTGTGGGATGTGGCTGTAGCACAAAGACCGCACCTAACTAGCAAATGCCTGCAGTAGGAATTGAAAGGGAAATTCTCAGACTAATGGGAACAAGGCAAAGGAACCCTTACCCTGCATTATGATGTACCTGCCCTGCAAGTTTTAATTGAAGCAGTGTAAAGAGATCTTTACTCTATATGTAACCCATGATATTCTAAAAAAATAGACTAAGTGAGTGTGAAAAATTGTGGCAGATTGATTCAATGTGAGGAAATGAGAGGTCATTCATTTGGACCCAAGATAGAAAAAACATTTTTTTTTCTAAAATGTTGAGAAGCTTAGAAGCAGGGAACTGTAAGGAGCAGAGAGATTTAGAGTCCTAGTACTGAAATCTCAAAATTACCATACAGGTACAAATAATAATTTTAAAAATTAATACAATGTTAGCCTTCAACTCAACCGCATTGTAATACAAAGTGGGGGGAATTATGTTTCATCGGTACAGAGCTCTGGCTTGACTACATTAGTCGCACTGTGTTCAGTTTTGCTGGGAAAGATATATTAGCTTTAGAAGGGGTGCAGCCATATTCTGAATGGATCATGAAGCCATTGTTTGAAAAAAAAAGGACAAGTTCTAGTCATTTATCATATTGTTTGTAGGAGCAAACATACAAATTGGACAGCACGTTTCCTATGAGATTACATTTCAAAAGTAGCAGTATAGCAATTTTGGAAACTGGAATGTTGCAAAGAAGGGTCATTGGACTTGAAGTGTTAACTCTGTTTCTGTCTCCATAGAGCAGGCTGCCAAGATTTTGCATCACTTTTCTGTTTTTATTTCAGATCTGCAGCATTCAGTGTTTTGTTTTTACATTACTGTATAAAGGCAATTTTTTTCTTTAAAATGGAAACATCAGATAGTCTAATACCAAAGGACAATTAGCAACCAGGATTTGTCGTTCATTTTTTACAAACCTTATCAAAAGCCTACTAAGGCAAAGATAGGTACTCTGAGAGGACTGGACAACTGGAACTCCCCAGTGAGAATTACCTGAATTGAAGAGCTGAAATAATCTCAAGTGGAAAGAATTCAAATGACAACTCTCATTTCCTGGTACAATTCACGCTGTTGCCACCGCAGTTTCCCTTACCTGAATCCACGGTGTACCTGTAAAGAGACGTCTCTGGTTGTCAAGGTGGGCTTGACCTCCATGTACACATCAACCTGCTCGGCAGATTTCTGTATCTCCATCCTGTCTGTGGCCTGGAATCGACCTGTAGAAGAAATGTATAACATTTTAAAATAAGACAGCGCAGCATTCACAGCTTTAGTGGGGAACTCTCAGGAGAAATCCAGCATTTGTTTCTGATCCTGGATTTCCCTTGAACAGAGTGACTTACCAGGCCACTTCAGAGGGCAATTACGAATCAACCACACTGTGGTGGGTCTGGAGTCACATGTTGGTCAGACCAGGTAAGGATTTTCTGACAGATTCTCTTTCCGAAAGGACATTGGTGAACCGGTAGATTTTTATTACAAATCAATGGTAGTTTCACGCCACCATAACTGAGACTGGCTTTATATCTCAAACTTAAGAATTGAATTTAGATATCATAATCTGCCACGGTGGGATTTGAACCCATGACCCCAGGTCATTTGCTTTAGCCTCTGGATTATTAGTCTAGTGACATTATAACAATGCCATCACTTCCTCTATCTTAGGAGGGAAGAGAGAAATGAGAAAATTACTCATTCTGATGAACTCCTGCATATCTTTGCACAGAAGCTTTTGGTGCCAGGTTATGCAATTACCCTCTGAGGTATAAGTCAGAAGAATTAACAGTTGCTTGCAATTATATTGCACTTTTAACATCCCAAGGCATTTGACAGCAATGTTGTCAAATGTATATCAATTCTAGAAATACAGAATCGATAATTCAGGTCAAAATCAATAGTCACATAAACAAATGCAGGTTAATTAAGGAAAGCCAACATAGATTTAAGGGACAATTACATTTAACTAATGTGGAATTTTTTTTAAGAAAGACTAATAGAGTGGGTTGATCAGGGCCATACTGTTGATATCGTGTATACGGACTTCTAGAAAGCAACTGATACAGTGCCATACAATAGACTTGTGAGCAAAATTAGTGTTAATGCAATAATTGGGACAGTAACAATATAGCGACAAACTGTTGAGTCAAAAGGATGCAAAGTAATCATTTTTCAAGCTGGGTGAAGGTTTGTGTGAACTTCCCAGGGGCCACTGTTAGGACCCTTGCTTTTCCTAACATGCTCAGTGATCTAGACCTTGGCGAACGGGGCACAATTTCAAGATTTTCAGATGATATAAAATTTGAAGATTGTAAACAGGGAGGAAGCCAGTGCAGAACTTCAGAAGAATGTAAACAAGTTGATGGAGTGAGAGGATACGTAGCAGATGAAGTTCAATGCAGAGAAATGCACTCCCTGATAGTGTAGTGAAGGCAGGTTCAATTGAGGTAACTGAGAATTAGATGGTTATTTGAAAAGGAACAGCATGCAATGTTATGGGGAGAAGGCAAGAGCATGACACTAAGTAATCTACTCATTTGGAGAGCCAGCACAGGCACAATGAGCCGAATAACCTCCTTTAACACTGTAACAAATCTGAAATTCTATGACTGAGCCAAAAGACATCAGGACACGTGATCAAAGATTTGGTAAAACGGCTAGGTTTTAAAGAACACATTAAAAAGAGAAGAAAGGTGGAGAGGCTTAAGAAGTAAATTCCAGAGCCTAGACAACTGAAGGCACAGTTGCCAACGAGGGCATGAAGAAGACCAGGAACGTGTAAGAGACTAGAGGAATACAGAGGACTGGAGAAGGTTAAAAATCAGGATAAGTAAAGCCAAGGAGAGATTTAAACACAAGGATGGGATTAAGCTTTCTCCCCTCAATAAAGAAACTGTTATGCCTCATTGGGGTAGCTTGCGGATATCAAGCCAGCTATTTCTTAAGTCATGAAAACATTTTAAAAAATGATCAAAGTACCAAAGTCCCCAATGTACCGGTCTGATAGATTCAGGTTAATAAGAAACACAGCCAGGTTTTTATAAGAACTACTATTTATTACAAATAAATAGATTCTAACCACAGGTAAAAGATGATGAACTGTTGACATATAACTCTGTTAGTTAAAACTCTAACCCCCTCCACCTTCTGAAAACTCTCCACATACAGACAAATACATTTGTGTTAAGCTGGAGGAAAAAATAAGTACTGAGGAAGCAGTTCAATAGCACATGTCCTCAGGATCCTATGGGGTTTTCCTTTTGTTTCCCAATTCCTTCAATTCTTTGATATTTTCTTTCAAGTTATTTCACTTCTTCACAGGAGGCACATAAATGATAAGTCTCTGACTTCTTGGTTAAAAGCAACAGCTCATGGCAACCAGCAGAAGCAGAACATCCAGCTTTCTTTAGCTCTGGTTATTTTCATCAGAAACAGACACACACCACCTCCTTTCCCAGCAGTCTGAGGGCTTTTCACTGTATTGTTTGCTCTCAGGTTCAGCTACCCAGGAACAAATCCAATAGTTGTTGTCAGGCTGATGGCCTTTGGCATCCACAACTGGTCACAAGTGCTCAAATGAGTCAGCAACTTGTTGCTGGATGAATCTCACTATACATGCCTCAGAGCTGTGGTATCTATTTACACCTTTCCCTCCACTGCTTGCAAAGTAATAGTGTAAACATGACCCAAAATGAGTTTCAGTAACATACTACGTCCTTTACTGTAAAACAGTCCTTTTCCCAATTTAGTTCACAATCAAAAATAAAGTAGAATAAAAAGATGCGGTTTTTACAATTTTGCTGCCTAAATCACTCTACACAAGGCTACCAGACACCTTATTGCCCTTCTCTGGATTCCTTTTTCCAACAATAATACTATTGCTTTAATACCTTAGTGGAATTGTTGCCAAGGGTTGTAGTTCTTTGTTTCTGCTTCTACAACCTTCTTCACATTGTTGTTATGAATCACAGAAATGACAAAGAGGGTGACAGAAATGAACACAAAAAGATTTGGAAAATCAAAAAACAATTAAAGTGAAGAGAAATTATGAAATTAAGTTCAATATTTCCTAACATTAAATTATCAAGGAATACAAAGAGGAGCAGCAAAACAGTACAAATTAATACCTAACAGGAAACAGTGAATAAGATGGGTCTTGATTCTTTTATAAAAGAGGTTGTGGGATTACCTTGACTTGGAGGTTTTTAAGTAAGAGTTTGACAGAGTAAACATAGGGAAAACAGTTCCACTTTTGAGTAAGACCAGAAAAAGCTATCATAAGTAGTCACTAACTAATCCAACAGGATGTTGAGAAGAGTCCTCTTTACCAGACATCAATAAGATAAATAAGAAGGAGTGAGTGAGGTGAAGAGCACAAATGCATTCAAGGAAACAACAGATGCATACAGGGAAGAGAAATGAATGGAAAGACATGCAGATTGGATTAGATGAAGGAGGATGGCAAAAGGTTCACATGGAGTGTAAATACTGGCATGTACCAGTTGAGCCAAATGGTGTATTCCTATGTTTGAATACTATGAATCCTCAGTCCTTTCTATAGGTTTGTTTGACACAGTATTTATGGTTCCTTAAACTTTCCCAACACCCATATGGCCAACTCTCTCCTCGAATACCAATGGTACCCATTGAGAACCAGTACAATTACTTACGGCTTCGTTCCAGGAAGACTTTGTCCACAGGCTGGCTCGAACAAGCTGATATGGCAAAAATAGGACCTCTGAGCTGAGGAGCCTGCCCCTCACTGATAATGTCTTCTTCTTCCACTTCAAGCTCATTACTGTAACCAGCAGGCCGTGTTCTCCTGTTTGTTATTTTAATAAAGCTGCATTAGAACAATTTTTTTGAATATCATTTTACGAAGGAAACAAAAAAGGGAAGATCACGCAATGAAAGGTTGTCAATCACTCGTGAGGATAACTGAACTGGTTAATAGGGAACCAAGCAATATCAATCTTGGGCCATCCCTGGTCTTCACCAAGCTCATCGCCATAACTTGAAGGGCAATTTTGGATGAGATTCCCCATCTCACTATAATCCTGTGCATTCTGCCTTTTCAAATTATAATTCCTGATTAAATGTCTTGATTAAACCTGCCTTCCTCACACTGCTCGTCATATTCCGGATCCTAAATCACTTACTGCGTGAAAAGGTTTCTCTTCGTGTCCCTATTGCTCCATATATTAAATGTGTCTAAGGTTTTGGAATAGATCTGTAGCTCGGGTTGTGGGTGTTGAGGTTGGTTGGCTCGTCGAGCTGGTTTGTTGTTTTGCAGACATTTCGTTACCATGCTTGGTAACATTCTCAGTGCAGCCTCCAATGAACCGTCGGTGTGTTTTCCCGCCTGGTTTTTAAACTCTGGGGTCCGTTGAGATGGATTGCCTCACCTCCAGTTTTACTTCGTAGTGGAATGTATATGGGGTCGAGTTCAATGTGTTTATTAATAGCATGCTTCGTGGAGTGCCTTGCTTCCAGGAATTCTCATGCTTTGGATATCCATTATCCTTGAAAACCTGCAGTGTGTTGTTGCCCTTTTAAATAGTGTTCGCGAAGGGCACACTGCAGCAACATGGAACTTCGCCAAGAGGAAGAAGAATACCTCTTCCAGGTTTTCAAGGATAATGGATATCCAAAGAACTGGGTCAGAAGATGCCGACACAAACAGCATCAGAAAGATTCTACACGCCCCGACACACTCATCACACTGCCCTACATCGGGAACACATCGGAACTCACCACAAGACTCCTACGACCGCTGGGCATCAGAGTGGCACACAAGCCCACGTCAACCCTACGACAACTGCTCACCCGAACTAAAGACCCACTCCCCACCATGGACAGGACCAATGTCATCTACAAATTTCCCTGCAGAGACTACGAGAAACACTACATTGCACAAACAGGAAGGAAACTAACAACAACAGTACATGAACACCAACTGGCTACAAAAAGACACGACCAATACTCACTCATCTCAATCCACATGGACAAGGAGAACCACGACTCCGACTGGGACAACACCAAGATCCTGGGACAGGCTAGGCAGAGACAAGCACGAGAATTCCTGGAAGCATGGCACTCCACGAAGCATGCTATTAATAAACACATTGAACGCGACCCCATGTACATTCCACTACGGAGGAAAACCGGAGGTGAGGCAATCCATCTCAACGGACCCCAGAGTTTAAAAACCAGGTGGGAAAACACACCGATGCTTCATCGGAGGCTGCACTGAGGACGTTACCAAGCATGATAACGAAACGTCTGCAAAACAACAAACCAGCTCGGCAACCCAACCAACCTCAATTAAATGTGTCATTTTGTTCTTGACCCTTCCACCAATTTCTCCCCATCTAATCTGTCTGGATCCGTCATGATTTTGAATACCTTGGAACAAATCTCCACTGAACCTTTTCTCCAAGGAAATCCGTCCCAATTTCTCCAATCAGTCTATGTAACTGAAGTTCCTCATCAAGAGAATGGAACCATTGTCATGAATCTTTTCTGCATCCTCTCTAGTGCCTTCACATTTTTTCAAGTTGGGCACAATACTCCAGCTGAGATTGCAGGACTGTTTTGTACAAGTTTAACCTAACCTCCTTGCTCTTGTTTTCTATGCCCTTAATAATGAAGCAAGACCTAAAACAGGACTTTAATTGGTAATAACATTCACTTGGTTCTCTTCTTGATTTTCCGAGTAACTTCATCATCCGGTCCAGTGTAGAAATTGCACACGTCAGAGGCATTCTGCTGGGTGAAGGAGGTTTCCAATTCTATAACAAAGAATAAGTTTACAAATAGACATTTTCAGTGATCTCGTTTACTTTTCAGCACTCTAATCTGAAACTCGTCTGTGCTAAAAAGAACTGGTGGAGGAATAAAAACCAAAAGAACTGCAGATGCTGCAAATCAGGAACAAAACCAGAAGTTGCTAGAAATGCTCAGCAGGTCTGGCAGCATCTGTGAAGAAAAAAATAAGAGTTAATGTTTCGGGTCTGATGACCCTTCCTTAGAACTCCTCAGAACTGGTGGAGGAATACACTGGCTGGTGCAACAATCATAAACACACCATGGGTTTTGGGTTCATAATAGTCATCGGAACCTGTACATGATACTGGTGTATGGGGATATGTGTATGGAATGGAATGTAGCAACAGGCATGGGAACCCACACCTGGCATATAGGCATGCAACAACCGACACCTGAAACAACTGTAAAAGACTAGAAAAAATACCAATTCAGCACCTTTTCACTCTATTCTTGAACCTGCAACCCTTCTTCTGACCTCATCCTCCAACCCAATCGACTCAGCTTCACACAAAATCCCACAAGCCAGCCCATCTACATTGTCATTTTATGCTCATAACAGAATCTACTTTTAAGCTAGGGGAAAATTCTAGAAAATTGCAGTTGATTGACACCCACTTAACTGAAAGTGGATTTTAAGTGGGCAGCAGTGTGCTGAAATCCAAGAATATAGCTGTAATTATTTCAATGCAAACCAAAACTGCACTCCAAGTACATCCAAACTCTACAGTTCAGAGGATCTTGACTGTACTCACCAGCTGATAGCTTTTTTTTCTTCTTTTTCTTCTTAGGAGCAGTACCCTGAAGATCTGGGGTAAGGGGTTCGATACTTTCAGAATAGCGTCGCCCAGTTGAAGTCACAAGTGTGTCTGAGGGGCAAAAGTGACAGACAAGGGTCAAATAAGATACAACACTATTTCACAATCCAATGACTCTGTCACTGTGTTGGGAAGGTTGTGCCCAAGGTGTTGATTGGGAAAGTGCAGATAGGGTTGCAGTCTTTACTGAATTAGCAACTTTTAGCTGTGCTGGCACTGAGGGCTGAACAACTGTCCTCAGCTTCAACCAAGGAAAGTCAAATCAGCCAGGGCCCTTGCTCCTGTGAACAGAATTGAGCTCTTTTTTCTGTAATTGCATACTCATAAGCTCACTGGTTGAGAACAGGTGGGGGACAAAGAGGCATGTTGGTGCAAGATTCAATGCCCAAGGGCGGGAAGATTTCAAAGACAAAATACAAGTAAATGGAGGTAATCATTATTACTCTCAATCCTCTCACATCTGTAATATTTAGAGAATATTCCACAGTGCTCCAAAATATAACACCACAGTAGCTCAAATTGAGCTTTTAATCTGTTACTTATCAAATTCAACATGTTCTTCTGCTGCGTGTAATAGGAAGAGTACGGGCCTTGTTCAACCAGCCTGCACTTGCAAAACTCAAAACATCTACAGTTAGCTATCATTCTGCGATTGGGCATCACTTTTTGAATAATCTTGAGTTAACAGCTACATTAGCATTTATTTTGAGATATTTAGTCAAACTTGTAACCTGGCTTATTTACACTTGCTGGAAGTGATATACATATTCATATGCAGAGATTTGTTCTCTACCAATAAAAGAAGTATGCTAAAGCATTGCACTTCCTTTTTATCTGAAGAATGGGGAGCCTATAGCTCTCTATGGCAACACCTTGACAAATCAGAGGCTTCCCAACCAATCAGCATACCTTTTCTCCTATTGCATAAATTGTTGTGATCATTTAAAATTTGGCATGCTTGTATTTGTCCTGATGAGTGCAAGACAAAATTCTTCAGCAACTGTTCTTCTTCTTAGAAATATTTAAAGATAATTTAAATGTTTTGATTTAAAATTATCAGAACAAAACAGGTACCAAGCCTGGGGGCCTTTTGCTTTGTGCGACTTGATACAACATCAAGTCGTGCATTGACTGACTGAGATTCTGAGGAATCTGTGTGTAGGTCATTGCAGAATAGACACTTGGATCAAACCTTTCAAAGTCAAACTTAGAGAACAAGTGTTTATACTTCAATTAGCATGTAATTTGTAAACATTAACATTTCAAATACTATCTGTACCCAAATAGAGTCACTGTCCATTTTGATCAGGAAACCCAACCATTCCAGGCATGAATAGATGCTGTTTATAAGTAGACACAGTCCCATGGGTACTATTTTTTACAGGAAATGGCACTGGCTTCCACAGTTGTATAATGAAAGTCAACAAAAATTTGAATTTAACAACAATTTTGGGAGTAAATATCAAAAGTAAGGATAAAGGGTAACTTAAACTGGGAACAGCTGTTAAAGCCAAATCAAGGGGACCAGTTAATAAAGACAAATTAAACTCCCCATACAGCAATATGCACAGCATCCGAAATATTAGGAGGTGGGGAGGAAATAGGACACATGGGGATTACTAAAACAAATCTGGCAATTTTGCATGACATAAAATATTGAGGAAGCACAGGAAAGGAAAAATGAGCTGTGAGATAGCTGTATTAATTAGAAACAACAACGATAATAGGAAAAAAGGACATAACTAAACATCAAGATTGAAACAGTACCATGAAGCATTAAAATAAATGAGGAGGATAACAAGAGATTAATCACACTCGTGGGTGTATTCTAGAGACAATATGCCCCCAAAAACATGTAAACAAATCAATGAAATAAGTAAACAACACAGACCAAATCGTGAGATGTTTCAACTATTCCAACTTATTTGGACAGCACAGTGAAAGAGGAAAACACAGTAGAGCTTCTACAGTGTACACAGAACTCCTTTCTTACCCAGGATGTGTAAAAACTCAACAAGATGGGAATCGCCACTGATCTACTACTGGTAAATTAATCTGAGCAGACAAGAGAACAAAGTTTAAGGAAACATCTAGGCAATAGTGATCACAATAGAATAAGGTTTAAAGTAATGATTGAGAGAGACAGAGAGAGAAGTAAGAGATTGGAAAAGATAAATAATAAAAGGATGCAGTTGAAACTAGGAAATAAAAAATTAGAAAACCAGTGACATGATTGCACCTGTCACCAGCTGGAACAGATGCAGATGGACCTTTGTGCAACTTACCTACTCCATTGCTCGCATTGGATTTTTTCTTTCTAGCCTTGTTTATAGGTACATCTGTAATGGAGGCAATAAAAAGACGATGCAGCCGGTTGCTAGTCACCAATATAAACACTTTACAAATCCATCCATTTAAACATGAACAAGGACAAACATGCAATATTCACAAGAATAAGCATCAACATTAGAATAAAGTTCTCCCTGCATACCATCATAACATATTGGATTTTTTAAAAGTAATATTTTCTTTAAGTTTAAACTATAAAACACTATTCAACTGTGCTGGCTCATGACAGACTGTGTTCAGCGATATGCAAACACGTTTGAGCAGAAACTTAGGAAAGAAAATTAGTTATGACTGATTGCACCCAAAGCAGAAATTCTAACCCCCTCATATCTTTGTCGGCTGATTTGTTGCATCCTTCTTGTAAGAGGGAATCTCTACTGGGGTACAGGTTCAAATATATTCATCAATCTCTCGAAAGTTCACACGTAAACTGTGTTAAAGAGTATCAGTAAAAATTCAGCTGTCTGGCAGGGATGCTCAAGACAAAGTGAAGCTAGCAAACATGTGATGGTGATCTGTTAATTAAGCGATAATTGCGTAAGAGGGGTTTCTTGTGGAACAGTGGTAGTGTCCCTCCCTCTGAGCTAGAAGGCCCTGAGTTCAAGTCTCACCTGCTTCAGAGGTGTGTAATAACATCTCTGAACAGGCCGATTTAAAAAAAAATTGGGTGAGAACTTGACTGGGCGTATTTACATAGAAGGAATATGTAATCAGTGGTGGTGAAGTTGGCAGTGGGCGAATCAGAATAAAAATCTGACCAGAAAAGCATATGCTGGACTCATCTACTATTTTAAATGAACAAATTAAACAAAATTAGTGTCAACAACCCTGAAAGCACACTGTAACTAAAATAAAAACTCTGAAGGAAACTTACTAAATTCAGATTAAAAGATCATTTTGCAGGATAATGATGCCTGTCAGTCTGGTCCCTGTATAAACAGCATTCAATATCTGATGTTCAACAACCATGAATATTGCATGCAATTCTGTTCTTAGCTGGTGCACATATTATCTGCAACCATCTGCAGCAATAGCTGAACAGCAAACAGATGCAGCAGTTCCTTTGTCCACCAGTAATTAAATAACCAATTCACTTAACAAGAACTGTCAATAAAATAACAAGTCATCACAGATATCCGTGGGAGGATTGGTTGAAATTAAAGGCTTACCTTTGACTTTGGTGCTTCAGACCCATCAGCCAAGAAAAAGAAAATAAACAACGTAAGCATACAGACACACTGTAAAACATTAACTAAAAGAAAAACCAACAAGCATCCTCCTTTATTAGAGAACAACCCAACGCACAGGTCTTCTGTCTATATTCATCAATATAACCTATTCAGAACATCACCATATCATTCAATCTCTTGTCCTTCCAGGTGCTCATCTAATTTCTCCTTGGCCCCTCCAGTTCAATGTTCCTCCCCATGTGTCATATACCACAACTGGATTAGGCACTGAGCAAACAGGGTCTTATGATTTTCCTTCTTACTCCTAAGTTCATCATTTTCTAACCACTCCCCTGGGATTTGAATCCTTAACAAATGGGAACAACTGCACTCTATCAACTTCCTCAATTCTCTTCACAATCTTGAAAACTTGAACCAGAGCATCTCAAAACATCACCTTTTGCAAAGCAAACACATTCCACTTCCCTCAAATTAAATTCTGGAAAAACTTGATATCTGGCATTGTCTTTGCTATCTGCTTTGAAAGACAATAATCTCTTACTACAGTGAGTACTACACATCTCCAAATCGAGCCAAGACAGCAACACTCAGAGCAACAACATTATTTTCCTTGCATTTGAGCTATCTGCTAACGGAACCCGCAGCCTTTTCTTTCTTCTGCAACTAATAGGATGGTCAGACGTAACTTCCATTTATCTACAAAAGGAGGCTGAGTCATCATGCTGGAGTTATAATCTGTCATCAACAACAGCAAAATATTTCCCACCACTGAGTACAGTATGGATTTCTGGCTTCTTCTTGAATTCTCTGCCTGGAGGCAAATCCAACGCATAGCAGCAGGACCTGCAACACAGGCAGGATAAGGAGGCAGGTTCCAAATCTGCCTCAGTCAAAACAAGGATTAAGCCCCATGCTGTTGGCACCAAGCAGGTCGATATATCCTTTCCAAGGAGTCCATACCACCGTGACAACATGTATTTTTATGTGTATGATGTAGTCTGGCGTTACGGACAATGACTACAGAGTCTCTATTTCTTTCCATCACATAGCTTTCGAGAAATACCATACAACCGTCGTGCTGTCTGTCGGAAGCATATATGGTTTGATACTCAACCGATTTGGCTGCATTATAGAATTACCTTCTTTGGCCATTGAGTCCTGGAGTCTGATTTGAGCCTGGAGCTCCTGGCCCAAAGGCAGATATATTGCCCACTGGACCACAAGTCTTCCATAGGTTACCACATATTGAAGTTTTAAATTCCTTCCATCTTTCTCTTCTTCAATCCTGAAGCCTCTGATTCTTGTTGTGGTACAAGGAATCATGGTTACAGACTGGCCAATGTTGTCTCATTGAAGTGGTAATACAAGCTGGTGGCACAGTCCACTATCAACCCTTACATAGCATCCAGCTGGGATTAATGGATGGACAGTTAGAAACAGGAATCATGCTTGATTTCCCTGCTGCCACTAATACTAGACAAAAATACTTATAATAACACCCTCCTGTTGTACATGATGGCAATGCTCCAGGTGATCCTGCACCTACCAGAAACTGAGGTCGTGATCTTCTACATAGCTCCACATAGTTATACTTTTGAATTCATTTAACAGATCTGGGTTTTGCTGGCTGAATATTGACCAAACCTAACTGCCCTTGAGAAAGTATGGTTGGCTGTCTTATTGAAACTCTACAGTCCATGGGGTTTAGATGCTGCCAAACTGTACTCGTGGGTGTAAGTTCCAGGATTATAATAATGGTTTCCTCTCATCAAATTCCACCACTAGCATAAAGAATACTCAAATCAAATCACAGGAAAGAATTAATGTATTCAACTATCTTTTAGCAAAGGAAAAAGATACCTAAATCACAATGTAGAAAAAATACATTCTGTTGAATTTCATATCACAGAACTGAACGCCCAACCCATGACCCAACAGCCAGCCCACTTGTCCAGCTAGCCCACACTTATAACCTGCTTCCCAGTTAGCCAACACCCTGCTCATTATCCACTCACCCAATACCCAGCCCACTCCCCAGCTAGCCATCACCCAGCCTGCTACCCACCTAACACATAGCTCACAGCCCACGTGCCCAACACCCAGGTGCTCACAGCAAACTAAGACTCAGCCCACTCCTCAGCTAACTAACGTACGGCTAGCTTCCAACCTACGCAATACACAGCGCACTCCTAACCCACCTCACTATCTACCTAACCAATACTAATTCAGTACACATGTCCCAATACCCATCATGTAGCAACACCATCCAATTGTTCAGCCATTTCAACTCAGTACCAATATTTAACAGCCCTAATACTAGTGCTAACAATGCAACACAGTTTCAGTCTCCAGTCTCACAACCTCGCCACCTGACCACCAAGCCAATGCTACCAACGCACTCCAACAACCCAGGACCAGCCGTTGACATCGCTACTCAGTGATCCTGTATTCTGTTCCACTGCCCAACCTCCACTAAAATTAGCCACCAACCACAGATCTAAAATTTACCAAATATTTACCATCACAGCATCACATTTTTGTTACTCTCCAGTTGCAGAGGGCAGTGACACACAACTACGTCTTCTGACACAACTGCAGCTCCATTTTTAGCAGTCTTACCTTGGCACTGGTGGAAGTGCACGTGGTGGGCGCTGAAAGAAAACCACAGAAAGTCATCAGTATCAAGGATGACACCGTTACACAGCATGCATGCCACTCTCAGTTCCTGACTCAATCAACCATCTGGAGGCTGTTGGGGGCATTCTGTCACAGTTCCTGACACAAACATTATGAAACCCTGAGGCCACAATCCAGGCTGATATTATTAAAGATGTTCTTTTCCAGATGTAACACGAAACTGCAGCTCTATTTGCCCTCAGGAGGACATAAATGATCCTGTTTGAATAAAGGAGCCTTTTGTTGTTACAACCAAAATTTATTATTGAAACAACAGGTCCATAAACAGTTTTTCTGATCATATATTGCATTTTTTGTTTGCGGAACTTCAGTGGATACTACCCCATGCTTGAAAAAGATAGTAGGTAGGTATATGAAAACTTTGAGGCCCTCTCAATAAAGGAAAGGAACCGTATAAATAAAAACTTTTACTTTCTTCAAAATTGATTTGATAAAAGAAAACTGCTGATAAATTGGGCTGAGAGAGATAGTAGGAACTGCCGATGCTGGAGAATCTGAGATAACAAGGTGTAGAGCTGGATGAATACAGCAGGCCAAGCAGCATCAGAGGAGCAGGAAAGCTGACGTTTCGGGTTTGGACCCTTCTTCAGAAAACAATGTGCTGGCAAGTTAATTATTCTTAATGCAAGGGTAAGAGTGTGTTATTCACAGTGAACTCTCTAAGTTCTGCTATAAATGTCTCTCATGCCAGCACTCAAAATAAAAACAGAACAAAAAAAATGAAATCCACACAAACCCTGTCAGCATTTGAATAAAGGTTAGTATTTCTTGTGCCATCCAGTGGGATTTACCATGTCACAAATATTAAACTGATTTTCCCTTTCCAGATCAAACTTAAATTCTAGCTTCTCACCGCTTGCTTCTTCATGGTGTCTGTGATCCTCGAATCTCAGTAAATGGGTCAACAGTGACCTCACTTCAAACTAATCCTACATTAAATCCACCTTCAGAAAGTGGATTAGCTGGTAGACTATCCATATGACAGCTGTGATGGGGGCGGGATTTGGAAATCTAGTCACCAAATGTAAAACACAACATGTTGAATATTCTCCCTCTTAAAGCTGGCACTATAGGGATGGCCCTTCACTGTCAGTGGAACAATATGTTTGAAGAAAGTGGAGGGATTGAAGATTGCTTTCTAACTATTCTCCCGCCAGGCAAATAGAATCGCACCAAGGTCTTCATGACACTAAATTGAGCTGATTAATAAAACCAATTCTTAATTGATTCCAGTCTTCTTCCACAATACGCTGGAGCTATCATCATCATCTGACATGTTGAAAATGTTCGGCTGTTTTCCTGGTAACTCAATTGGGATGACAGGATGTCATTTGCAAATATAGACCAAAACATTGCTTGTTCAAACCCTAGGTGCTGACATTAGTCATCTCTCAGTCAGGACAGCAGCTGCTTACATTTGAGCTCTGAAACCTAGCCTTGTGATGAACTCAATGGCTTGGGGAGGCAGCAGGGTAATTAGCCAGGATCCCCCTCTCAATGTAAGGTAATGACTGTGTTGGAATGTCCAGGACAGCCAGTCAGGGCTCAACAGGTGATTCGTGGCCACTGGAGACACAGAATGGCAAAGTGACCAGTGCCCAAGGGAGTGAAGATGAAGAAGAAACAGATCCTTCAGGAGGCATGTGGAGACAATTCAAGAATTCAAACATTATTTTGGCTGACTCGAGGCAGAGCAAGATTGTGACTAAAGCATAAAATTTGCTCACGAAATCCATAAATTCAAATTCTCATCACTCCAAAAGAGTTTCCTAGACATTTTTCCATTCTCACTTTCAGTTGAGAATTCATTGGCTCAGATAATCCAATGGCCAGATAATCATTGATGCAGCTTGGACAGGAGTTGCATGTCATGATCATGCTGAATACCCAATGTGGTTGAATCAGTGGAAACTGCCCCAGAAATGGAATTTTTCAATAGGCAATTCCCCTGTATTTGAATCCTCAAAGAGTCCACTAATCGAAATTTCAATAAAAACCGAAAGAACTACAGATGCTGTAAATCAGAAACAAAAACAGAAATTGCTGGAAGAGCTCAGCAGCTCTGGCAGTATCTGTGGACAGAAATCAGAGTTAACATTTCGGGTTGAGTGACCCTTCCTCAGAACAATCTCACTTAAGCTGATAATTACCCAGGAAACGTTACAAGATTAAAAACCTAATCTAACACCTGGATGAATATTAAGATGACTCCTCATTGACTTCCCAAACTACATCACCCTGGACTCCTGACAACCACAACCTGACTCGATTAAATGCATTCTTCCAACCACTGCCATTCTGACCATGCTCCATAATCCTGAAAGAGTTGAGATCGGAATTGCCAACAAGAAATGTGGAGCTCAGTCCTAATGGAGGAAAGTAGGAACTGAGTGGCAATCTGACTGTAATTTGCACTCCTTGGTACATGTGGGCTGTATATCTTTCCTACCATTCATGTTAAGCCATCCGGTTCATCGTTACAAAATAAAAACCGAAAGAACTGCGGATGCTGTAAATCAGGAACAAAGCTGATAATTGCTGGAAAAGCTCAGCAGGTCTGGCAGCATCTGTAAAGAAAAAAATCAGAGTTAAAGTCAACAGACCCGAAACGTTAACTCTGATTATTTTCTTCACAGATGCTGCCAGACCTGCTGAGCTTTTCCAGCAACTTCTGTTTTGGTTCATCGTTGCATTTAACTTCCCAAATAAACTTTAACTTCTGCTTTAACAACCCTCTGACATGAATCTTTCTGAAACAAATTATTAAACGTGCATAATCCTGCCCCCACTATCTTTTCCCTGTTTTCTTTTTAAAACATGTGGATGTTCACAACTGCAGTCAAGCGTCATAGTCTCAGAGTTTGATTATTCACAGAATTGTTATGATGCAGAAAGAGACCAATTGGCCCTCTGGCTCTTCGAATAAACATCACTCCCTTGTGCCGGTCTCATGATTTTTCACGATACACTTGTACACTATTACTATTAAATAATCATCCACTGTCATCTTGAATGTCTCAATTGAACCTGCCTCTGACACACTTCTAGGTGATGCATTCCATACCCTAACTACTCGCTGCGTGAAAAAGTATTTTTTCTCTCACAACACTTAAATCTCTCGTTCGTGTTCCTTTTACAGGCTTCTCCTTATCTATTCCATCCTGACCGCTCATGATTTTGAAAACTTTCCATCGAATCTCCTCTCAGGCCTCTTCTTTCCGAGGGGAACAGTCCCAACTTCTTCAATCTATCCTCAAAATAAAGTTTCTCGTTCCTGGAACCATTCTTATACATCACTTCTATACTCTCCCCATTACTTATTTAGTATTTCTCGTGTATTATGCAACAGCACCCATTCCCCTTTAGCAAGAAGCCATCAGCAAACTGGATGGGATAACAAGGTGTAGAGCTGGATGAAC